GTTGTGAAATCTCTGTGAAAAGAAATCATAAATACTAAAAAATCAATACCTAATTCTGGTAAGGCTGGAAAATGCTTTCAACACTCTCATGGTTAAACCTCAGATGGTAACTGAGTCCCACACAGCCTCTCAGTCACTTTACTCTGGTGGGTTGGGGAGTGAATAAAAGTAAAAAAACACATGGGTTGGATGAAGGCAGTTTAACAGGCAAAGCAAACCAAGGGACTCATTCCCAATCCCATGGCAGGCAGTGCTCAGCCATCCCCAGGGCAGCAGGGCTGCAGCACCTGTAACAGTGACTTGGGAAGACAAACACCATCACTCCAAACATCCCCCATCCTCCTTCTCCCCACATTTACATGCTGAGTGTGATGCCATATGATCTGGGATATCCCCTGGGTCAGCTGGGGTCAGCTGTCCTGGCTGTGTCCCCTCCCAGCCCCTTGTGGAGCCTCTTGCTGGTGGGTGAGGAGCAGGAAAGGCCTTGGCTCTGTGTTAGTGCTGCTCATGATAAAAAAACCAGCCCTGAATTATCAACAGAAATCCAAAACATAGGCCCATTACCAGCTACTATGAAGAAAATTTACTCTATTCCAGCTAAAACCAGCACAAATATTATTTTAAAAATGTATTATCAGGATAATCAATAAACTTCAAAGGCACTTTTCTGATGCAAAAAAAAAAAAAAAAAAGGAAAAGAAAATAGAAGCATTTTTTAAAGAGGGGGCTTAAGGTTCTGTGGACCCTTACCTTTCATCAATAATTATATTCCAGAAAAAAATGTGCTACAAGTACACCATTTTTATAAAATGGCGCTGTACAACTATTAAAAAAAAATTGTTTGTTACAAGATTTAGCATGCAAGGAAATTCTCATCCAGGGCTTAAAATGTTTCTATCTTCCATCTATGCTCCCCACTGTCAGTGAGCCACACAGTTCCTGTTGTACTGACCCCTGATCCAGGGTTAAGCACCTGATTTTTGAGACACTGATGGTGCACCTGGGGCTACATTGATGCAGAGGGGATTTCAGTGCTCTCTCCATCACCTGACCTCAGAGGTGTGTGAAAGGGGATGACAGCAGAGCAAGAAAAATAAAGAAACCAACAGACAACCAGGTCTGTCTGAGACATGAGGAGTCCAGTAACTCCATGTGCACATCATGGACAGGAAGGGTTGGTCTCCTTTGTTTTTTCAGAATATAACTAAGGTAACTAGAGAGGAAACTACTGAATTGCTTCTGCCAGATGTAATGAATTAATCGTTTGCTTTTCCCCCTCTGGATTCAGAATTAATTCTCAGCCTATATGGGCATTTCTCTCACTGGAAAATTTAATTTGCATCATTAAAGCCCTGAGTCTATTACAACTGACACAGATGGGCACCAGAAAAAAAAAAATCTGTATAAATTTGGTAAATTTGTTCATATTGATGATTCTAAGTATTATTCAAAATTCTAATTAAACACCAATAAGCTGCTTTAGCTAAAGAAAACCTTACATTAACATCAACAGAGACAAAAAATGTATTTCTCTGATAATAGATCTAACTTTTCACTTAGATTTTGATTAAGTTTAACCACATTAACATTGAAGGAATTGACTGCTTTGCTGAATACAGATTCTCTTTCTTAATCCATTGGTTCCATGGTGACATAATGACTGGTCTTGCAGAGCAGGGAACAAATACCTACCACTATCCAGATCCACTACCTGTGACAACACCAGCTGTCAATTACTCAAAAAATTATGCATAAGTCAATACACTCAGATTGGACACTCAATTTTGTGTTAATTTTTATGAATAGTAAAAATATGAGCATTCCTACAAAAACATGACCATTTCCTTAAATTACTGTGAGAAGAAAAAGATTGTAGTGCTTTGGTAATACTGCCACACAGCCCTGGTGGAAATCACTGCTTAACAATTTCACCATAACTAATACTTTTCTGTATCCCTTTATAAAAATTTCATAAGAGAGACTATAAAAAGATACACATAAAACAGGCAGAGCATGCATGATACATTTTGGGTACCTTGTACCAAATATAAAAATGTCTAGATGCAAAACAGATTTCTTAAATTAACAGGCTGACATGAAGATAAGCCATCCACACTAAAAGTTGGAGTGGTTTTAAGCATGAGTAGGTGATATGAGGCTATCCAACATTTAATACAAGGCCACATTTTTATTTACACCTGAAAAGAACCAATTAAATTGATGTCCTGAAAACCACCACATGTAATAGTCCACTGTAAATCTTTATGCATTCTTGCACATATTTTAAGGGCTTTTCCTCTCCTTTGTTCTTTCCAATGTCAGCACAATGGTTATTGCCTTCCCTCTCACAGTTCAGGTACTGGCTGCACCTTCAGGACAGACAAAGGCAAGATGCTGAATACCTACACCAAAAATTGGAAATTGTCCATGCCCTTAAGAACATTTGCTCCAGAATAACATCAGGGAGTTCCTCTTTTCCCCTTCCCCAAAAATTTTCCCTTCCATGTGGCTGTTGAAAGACTAAAACAAAAATATGCAGAGCAGCATGTGCTAAATATTCACTACAAATCCTCCTTAAACTCAAACTAAAAGTCTTGATACAATAAGAACATGCACCACTTAACATGGAAAAATCCCAGGTTTAATCCCTTGAGAACTAGTATCATTCCAGACTTACAGTTCAACTTTCTGGTTTGTTCATATTTATAGTAACCATAAAGACTCTAGAATAAAATCTTCAGTTTAAAAGAATTGCATCAGTTTGAAAGCAACTCAGAGTGTTTTACTAATATCAAAGAACACAACTACAAAATAATAATATTTATCATTATTATTACTATTACCATTATTACTATTATTTATTGAGAGCAATTGCAGTTTCCTGTGATTTTCAATTCTTTAATCTGGTTATGTGGCTGCAATGTTATCATGGCTAATATAAATTAACTTTTCTCTACAATTAGGATATTGCTAGCACTGAGTGCTAAGAGCAAGGAAAGAAAGGTACATAAGCAGGGAGATTATCTGCAGTGGAAATTTTGAATTTCCATTAAATTATTTCCTTCTGAAATAAGGAACAGACTTCTAGAAGTCTCATAACAATACTGACATAAAACACTGAACTTGTGGTACTCCCCAGTACTTCCTGAAAGTCTCAGGCTGGTCAGCTGTTACTGCAATCAAACTCAACAAACAGCACTTATTAACAAATCAGGATCTATCATACCACCAGTGGTCTAGAAGGGGGGAAGAAAGGTTTTTGAATGCACCATGCACTGCTCCACAAAGTTCCAGTCCACAGGTGGTTTTTGTTATTTTTCTAAAATCCACCAAAAATGCAGAGTAAATTGTATTAATTAGGTACAGCAGCGGCACAACTGAAAAACAGTGTTACGAAACTAAGATATAAAAATGGTCCTCCTACTTTGACTATCTTAAAAAGAGAAACATATCTTTGAGAAATTGTCTCCGTTTTCTGATTGCAATGTGCAGGGGTGACCATCAGCAACAGCACAGAGCGGCCAGTGACTCCATGCTGGGTTTTGGCCGCCACGATGTCACAGAGTGGTTCCATGAAATGACAGAAGGATCCTTCCAGGATGTGTTCATGAGATCTCCTTGTAACCACCCACAGAGCCAGCCCAGCAGTGTCCCTGCAGCACCATCAGGCGTGGAGTGCAGCCCACCAGCACAGGATGCAAAGCAGCTCCCGCTGGGGCAGGTCCCTGCAGGTCTCCCACGATGGACGCTGTGGTGCTTAAAAAGAAGGGCTACAGCCTTGGTGACACTCTTGGAGAAGGCTCCTATGGCAAAGTGAAAGCTGCCTACAGCCACCGCCTGAAATGCAAAGTGGCCATCAAGATCATCGACAAGAAGAAAATTTCTCAGAAAGTCCTGGAAAAATTTCTCCCCAGGGAAATGGAGGCTTTGATGAGACTGCACCACCCCTCAATCATCGAAACCTATGAGATTTTTGAGACGTCCTCTGGGAAAGTGTACATTGTGATGGAGCTGGGGGAAAGGGGGAGCCTCCTGAACTACCTGACCAGCCAGGGTGCGATGGAAGAGAGCGTCGCTCGCTGCAAGTTCCAGCAGTTGGCTTCTGCCATCAAGCATTGCCATGACTTGGACTTTGCCCACAGGGACCTGAAATGTGACAACATCCTGCTTGACAACGAGCTTAACTTCAAGCTGTCAGACTTCGGCTTTTCAAAACCCCTGGTTCGGGACGGAAATGGAAAAACCATCCTCAGCAGCACCTTCTGTGGGTCTCTTGCGTACTCAGCCCCCGAGCTGCTTGAGCACATTCCTTGTGACCCCAGGATTTCAGACATGTGGAGCCTGGGCATTATCCTGTATGCAATGCTTTTTGCTTCACAGCCATTTGACAGTTCCAATGTCAAGGAAATGCTCCGGGTTCAGAAACAACAGAAGATTCACTTCATGAAGTCAAAAAATCTCTCTACAGACTGCAAGAACCTCATTGTCCACTTGCTCCACCCTGATGCATCCCAGAGGCTGTGCATAGATGAAGTTTTGAGACATCCCTGGCTGCAGACCCCAAAACTCGTACGCAGTCTGAGATCTGCAGGAGGGGGTGATCCCAAACCCTCTGGCAAGAAAAGCCCCAGAAACAACAGGATGCCAATTCCCATTGTGCGTAAGTGTAAGGAGTGGAGGAGGAAAACAGATTCTCTTATGGATACTTTCCTTTAACACGGTCACAGCATTGCCCTAACCTGTGAACTGCATTAGTTTAAATGCACATTAAAGAGAACCTGTCTAAAATTCCATGTGGCACTTGTGTCCTCACTCCTGCACAGTGCTCTTGAAGGAGGAGCTTTAACACTGCCAAAGTCAGGACTGTGAAACACGGGGGAATAATGAGGGAGGGAATTTTGGAAGTTTTAGAACACATAAACAAACCACAGAGGAGCATTGGTACGTAATACTTGAAGGAGGAATGTATTTCAAGCAAGAAAATGCCATTTTTTTTTTAATATCTCTGAATATCAGACCTGGTGAACTTTATAACAATTTATAACTATTTCAATATTAGACTCTAGGATCTGCCTAGACATACTGCTTATGAATCAAAATTTAGCTGAATTTTTCTTTCAAACTTGAGTTTTTCAACAAAAAAATGTGCAATGGAAACCGTTTCCTTATACTTGAAAAATTAACAAGGATTACAAATCCTTGTTACCATAATACAGGTTTTAAATCAAAAGGAATGAGGGAAGAGTTTTCATTAATTAGAGAGGGAGATTTAAAAAAACACACATCGAAAAAACAGCTGCCTTTTAACTGAAACTTATTGGCTGAGCATGCATGAATTCTTTTTTCTATAACAAGAAATATTATGTTAGACATTAAAAAATAAAACATATACCTTCAATGCTATGGTTGTTTAGCTTAAAACTTAAAAAATAAAGTTAATTATTTTATTTACATTACAGTCCTGAAAGGGAGTCCCAATCAAGGGTCATTCTAAAAGCCTACAAAATGAGAAGTCTCCTGTCCCACTGGTGTAATGCATTTACCTCTAGGTCCCACAGGATTGATTCATCTGGATAAGTTATGCAAGCACACATTTACAGTCCAGCCGCTTCCTGCAGAAAAACATCAAAAAATGTCATGTGGGTAAAATCCAGTCCCAGTGGAGACTTTGAGAGGTTTATTACTCAATTCATTGGTACTCAAATAATTGCCTGTCGCTAAAAGTAAAGCAAAACAAATATAATTTCATGGGTCTACTTGGCCAGAGACATTGGACCAATTATTGATCTATGAGGGTATTTATCCAACACCTGAAAATGTCATGCACACAGATGATCTAATATTGCTTAGAGAGGGTCAGGCTACTATGTTTAACTCCTTATAAAACCGAGAGAAAATAAAGTTGAAGTGCTACTGAAAAGCAGCAAAGTGTCAAAAATTACTCTAACATACAATTTGACAAGACAAAAATTAGGTTTATGCATTATTTCACCCATTACTCTTTGCAGAGAATCTGCTGTTCCCATCAAGACATTATGCTAAAATATCAAACATAAAATACTGCTATCAACAAATATCAAACATAAAATACTGCTAATAACAAAAAAACTGACCATAATTAAAACTGTTTTTCCATTTAGTAAGTGTGGACAACTAAATATATTCCGGGGAAAAAAATCTTTTTACTTAATAATGTAAGAGATTATTTTTTATGCTAAGAAATCAAATGCATTCTGGAATAATTACAAACCTTACTCTGAATAGTCTTCTGCCTCAGAGAGTGGATTAAAAGATGGATTGTACAAACAGCCATTCAGCACAGCTCTTACTATCCTAAATAATCCAAGGAGAGACAAAGTCAGATCCAGCTCTAATTAACACTCATTGCTCATGGCAGGAGAACATTAACATGGTACATTTCCACTGCCACATATTTAGAAGTCAGAGCCATTGAAAAGGACACTTGGACAAACAAAATGGAGCTTATGAATTCTTTAAGATAGCAGTTCAGTAAACAGATTTAAAATATAGCTTACTATTATTTTACTTTCACTGATTTATTCTAGGACCGAAACATAGTAGTAAAAAAAGGTGAAGCTATGGAAAAAATCGTTATATTCTATTTTAATTTTGCCATTTTTGCATTATCAGACACCCAATACAAGAAAAAACAGTGTGATTGGAAATGATCACATGGGATGTGCCATAAAGGAGGTGTGACACTTCTTCCTGGTGTACTGGCAGATCCTTAGGCAGGATCATGAGCCTCCACACTGCGATGCATATTCACGGCAAGACTACTGTTAAAGTTCAGGCAGTTCAGGCACCTTCCTGGTTCCAGCTGTGTGTCTGTGGCCAAAATATAAGTGCAAAAGCCAAAATCAAAAGGCAGGACAGCTCTCTTACCCAGAGGCATTTCCAGATGACTTTATTACAGATATGAGCTACTCTGTTGTGTAAATTGTATAAAAGAGAGCCTGGCATGCATCTAAGGAGGGTGTATTTTGCAATTCTGGCTTACTTGGGAATTCAGCTTTATTCCAATACTTTTAGTAAGACAGGACATGCCATTGAAAACAAACATATATAAGTCCTAAAAAGCTTCTAGAGAAAGAAGACCTAAGAAGTGTATTGGTGAATATCACAACAAAGCAAACTAAGCATACGAAACATATAATTTCAGCTGAATGCAGTAAATGAGATAAAATCTGTCCCGTATAACTCTGTCAAAATGACACTGGGTTTACTTTAACTAAAGATCATAGATTCATATATTTACTAAGGCTGGAAAAGACCTCTAAGATCTTGAGCCCAACCATTAAATCAATACTGCCAGGTCCACCACGAACCATGTCCCCAAGCACCTCATTTATGCATTTTTTGAAAACTTCCAGGGATGGTGATTCCACCATTTCCCTGGGCAGCCTGTTCCCACACTGGAGCACCCTTTCAGTGAAGAACTTCTTCTTGACATCCAGTCTGAACCTTCACTGGCACAACCTTCCTCTCATCCCATTGTTTGTTACCTGAAGGAAAACGCCGACCCTCCCCTGACTGGAGCCTCCTTCCAAGCACTTGTAGAGAGTGGTGGGGTCCCCAAGTCTCCTCTTCTCCAGCCTAAATAACCACAGTTAACTCAGATGCTCCTCAGTTCCCTCAGCTTCTATCTCCTCAGACTTCAAGAGGAATCAATACCACGCACCTAGCACTGGGGAATGAAAATGGAGATTGTTGTAATCACTAATGTTTCAGATCAAAATTCAATTTTCACTTTCCTCTACACATTACAAGTGATTAAGTGAGTTTTAGAATCATCTTTTCCTTAGCCAGAAGTGTCCACACTTTCTTATCTTATATCATTGGCACTTAAATTAATGTTTTTTATCTAACAGATACAGCAGTCATAATAAATATTTAAGATAACTACTTAAATTTTGGCTGTATTAACATTATAATGTAAAGAATCGTAATTTTATTTGCCTCAATAAATCAAAGATTAAACTCACTCAGACATTTTATCTTGCTTGCCCTTAGAATAGTTAAAGAAATTCACTTTAAATATGAATTATATGTCTTCATTTTATGAGCTTTGTTCATTTCCATAGATTTAGTTTGAAAATAAAATTATTTCTAGTACTTACTGGAATGCTGATAATGAAACTATTGAATTAATATTTTTTGTCTCTATGTAAAAATCACTTGAACTCATTTGGAGGGATTGGATTCTTAAAGGAGAACCTGCTTCAATTTGTGCTCCTTGCTATGGCACTCTGAGCCATATGAACTATCATGGATATTCCATTAAAAAACAAGGTTCAGAAAGTTTAATTTGTCAAAAAGTCTCTGTACTATTCCTTGAAATACCATGCATAGTATTTATTGAAGTATATTTCAAGACTCAACATCACAATGAAATTTTTTAAGATGTCTTCCCAATTCCTGCAAGGGCTTTTAGTTCAATGAGAATTAATTATTTTGATCACACAGATACTGTTTCCAAACTAAAACCTCTAAACATGATCACAATGGTCTCTGTACAGCCACTAAAAGTGCTTCAAACCACAAAAACTCCTGTGAATAACTTTGGTGGTGGTACAAAGGATGATTTGGTAGAATTGCACAGAACTTGCATGCAGCAAATTCTGCACACACCAATTTGACCGAGAACACAGTGTCCAGGACAGCACTTCCATCTCCTGGGGTATCATTGCATTTTTCCCAGAGGCTGTAAGTTTAATTTACTGGCTGTGTGGTGTGTGCTGCCCCTTCCCTGCCCTGACACCCAGCAGGGCTCTGCTGCCTCCATCCAGCTTCCTGGGGACTCTGGGGACAGGTGGCTCCAGGGCAGCCAAGGGCTGTCTGGAACAGTGGCCCAGACGTCTTGCCACTATGCAAATATCACTATCAGTCAATCATTTTATTATAAATACAGTCAGTCATTTCATTATAAATTGACAGCCCAGGGCCCGCTGAGCTCTCCCATGTGGCAGTGGCTGTACTCCAGGAGCTCCCCTTGAGCAGGGACAGCTCTCAGGGTTACCCTCAAGGCTGAAAGGTTCCTTGCCACCCCAGATCCTCAGGGAGTGATCAGTAGTGTCCTAACCTTGGAAATCTTAGCCAAGTGATACAGAGGATTGACTTTGCACATAAACTCCTTTGGACATAAACCACTGGCCAAGCCTGAGACCAGGACTGGATCCAGCTGCAGTCTGAGAAGGGATCTAGAAAGCAAGGGGGCCTTTCCTGAACCTCCTGACTCAGTGGGAGAGTCTCCCTGGCAGCTTTCTCTGTCCTTGTCCTTTAGGCTGTAAATAGTCAAGTGTAGCTTGTTAAAGCACTGTCATATTCACCATTTGATTTCGTTAACTCCTGATTTACCTCGACAAGGTTTACTGCTGCTTCTCTCTGGAGTGAAGAGCATCACTCCATTCAGGGCAAGGTGCAGCAGGCAGAGGAAACAGATGAAAGGGGTTAACAGAGCAGCACTGGAGGGAATAAACATTGGAGGAAATAAATATTTGCTGATTCTCCTAAAACAGAAAAGGCAAGTTATCTGTTATGCTACTTGACAGCTTGTAAATGGATGAATGATTGCCTTTAATAGTGGTGATATTTACTGCCTCAGATACCTAATTCCTTTGACCTGAACAGAAATGGTCACAGTCATTAGATCTGCATAAATACAGCACTCAAATCTTGTTGAGCACATAACAGTCCTATAGGAAAAAAAAAAAAAATCACAAAATTATTCCTAACACAAGACACAACCAGAACAAAAATTAATTTTTCAGAACCTGACTGTTGAAAATTGTTGATGACGAATTTTAATGGACCAAAATCAAAGTTCATTCAAGTCATTTGGAGTGGTTGGTATTGGTATTTACATCAGCACCTAAACCTTCATCTTATTTACAAAGATAACTCGTGTTATGCTAAGTTTTACCCAAACAATTTCTGCAAGATGAGACCATCTAGACACGTTAGGTACTTAGTTTACAAGACTGTTTTAGACACCTAATATTAGCATAAGTCCCAAGCACACTGCAGCATTTAAAGCGTTTAGCTCACAATATCCTTGTAAAGGAGAGGAATAACATTATCTCAGCTTTACAAAGTGAAACTGAAACGCAGGATGAATATGGAACTTTTAAAACATATTGAGTACTCAGATCCTATAAGTGCTGAGTGCTTGGTTACTGTTAAAAATCATAACATATGTGTTATACAGACTATGCTACTATGCTACTGAGAAACACAATCTGTGACAGAAGTGATCCTAATCAGGAGCACTAAAGTCATGAACTATAGTGAACTATTACTACTGCCTGTCTGTTTTTTCTGCCTTTGATGAGATCTAACTAAAAAAAGAAAGCAAAACACCACAAAAATGCCCAAACCAAGAAAACTCTACCAATTTCAAGCATCCTACTTCATGTCTAGCTGAAATATGATGACTACAGGATCTTTTTGTTACACACATCAAGCTATTCAAAGTTTGCCAAAGATATACTTCAAGTCACTTCTGCCTAGCATAACATAAAACTATAAATATTCCAACATACACAAACTTAAAAAAAATGAGCTGAATTTTCTTCATGCTTTAATCATTAACTTTCACTGTAACAATACCAAAATGTACAAGTAAATAAAATGGGACTGGCTTGCTTGCTCTGCAGTATCAACTTGTTCTGATAGTTTATCCCTACCAGTCCTGTTCAACATCATCAATCAGTTTTGGGATGTGATTTTTTTAAATGCAGTTTAACACAGAATCATCAATACAGAAAGTACATGCCAGAATATATTCACCTGCAGTTTAAGAAAATTGTGCGAGTTAATCAGATAAAAATTTCTGCTTTTCTGATGCAAAGATGTGAGCTTTAGATTATCTTAAAGCATGGGCAACCCACCAAGGAACTACATATTGAGAGAGTTTTTAATGAATATGTATACATTAGTCTTTTTTTTTTATTTTCCTTAAAGGAAAATATTACATCAAAGCAAATCTAGTTTGGTCTACTACATAAATTATTTCTTCTATATACTTCAATGCATTGCAGAAATAGGTTTTCTTAGTATTAAATATTTCCTATTAGGAGGAAGAAATACTTAATTCATTATTTTCCAAATTTGTTAAAGTAAAAAGGCCAAAATCTTAGAGTTATTTTGTTAGACTATTGTGTTTTAAACTAAGCAGTGATAAAAAAAATTCACTTAAACAAAGCAAAGTAATATTTTCTAGGACTAGCTTCTTCCCTATCTAGCCACAGCACCATGTATACAAAAGAATTAGGAGTGTCTGAATCTTGTGCTAATTTCACATTTCTGCCAGGTCTGACATAGTCCACAGCTCCAAGACTGTTCTACAGTATTGTCTCCTTTGTCTTGCTATTACTTTACATCCTTCCAAAGGGTACTTTGCATTTCTGGGAAATATTACAGAATTCATGAATAGTTGCTCAATAACAAGATGAATACACCACTGTTAAAAGAAAGATTTAAGAACAGTTCGCAGTATGTTCTAGTCTTGTGTCTAGTGTTCTTTCTTTTTCATGGCCAGATGGGACTCCCATTATCCTCCTTTTTCTGTTGTATGATTCATCACCAAAGGCTTCCCTCATGCTCTTATTACAGCAGGTGTTCTATCCCTGAAATGTATTCATATGGAAACCTACAAGGAGAAATATTGAACCAAAGAACTAAATAGAATGGAATGTAAATGGAAACATTTTTAGTCTATTTCTTAGTGTATTGATAATAGATATTAATAATGTTATACTGAACTGTAGCAGAGGTCCTAAACCTGGTATTGCTAAACAATAGCATAAATTTTTTTCATTCACAAGTGAAGATGCCTCAAGCAACCTGAAAAAAAATCCAAGCTAAATAAAATTTGGTCATAGCAAAAAGGTTTCCTGTCTTGATAAGATCTACTCTAATTAGGCTGCCTTCTGTGAGACCACTGTTTTATCTTCCTACATACTGTAAATTTCACATCTGTCATTACTGCCAGTAATTTCTGTAGAAAGCACCACTAATGAATGCAAAAACAAAGCAATGTAGAAGTAGGAATCAGGAGGCATCTAGCAGAAAATTTCTGGGTATTCCTGTAGAAATTCAAAATTACTTTTTTCCCCCAGTAAACTTGTTTCCACAGTTCTAAGGTTTTTTGGGGTTTTTTTTCAGTCAAGGCATAGATCTCCCCTTAAAGAAAAAAGCAAAAACCAACAAAACAAAAACATATTAACAATTCTAATGCTACAGTTAATTTGGCTAGTTATGTTGGATTCATCCTAATTTCATATGTAACAGCTGCCTGCCTTTCTTCTCCCTTATTTTATCTAGTGGATGTCAAAGCACATTTTCTACATGTTCTGTTGAAGCTGCAACCCTGAAAGGGGCTGGGCATTGTATAAACTGCTAATCATCTTCTCATAATTGAAAATACTGAGAAGTCAGAATTTTAACTACTTGGAAGTAATGCAAAGCAACCTCAAATTGCCCCAAAATTACCCCCTTGCATAGCCACAGATCTCGGGCCAGCTTTTGAATGGGAAACAGCCACGTAAAAAGAGCCTAACCTCAGTCTTTCCTAAAATCACCACAGACAATGCTAGTGAACCTTTATCAACTGAGACTTCCCCAGAAATTGTAGCCAATTAAATTCTTTCTGGAATTTCACCAAGTTTGTGGATCTAGAATTTCATTAAGTGGGTCTAGACTGCCTACACCTACTCTAAAACAAAACCTTTGTCTCCTGCCAATCCCAGTTAAAAAGATGGGGACAAGTGCATTGGAGTTGACATTTCCTTGAGGATATGTCAGTGATTCAATAGCAAGTTGGAGCCACATTCTCCTGCTGGATATCCAGGAATATCTCCCAGATCTGATATTCCACAGGCAACTGCTTTGGATGCAGCTCCCTCTCCTTCCAGCCCACCCCACACTCACATCTAAGGCACAGCTAAGATCTAGGCACATGAAGGTGCACAGTCTTTTGTTGGGCTCAACTACAAACACATTCTGATCTTCCGTAGAATCTCCTGACATTTCTTTGCAACATAAAAAATTGAATTGTTTTGGATTTTAACCTGGGAACTTTGCTCAACATTGATGCTAAGCTTGAGAGTAATTAAATATGACACAAGATGGTGTCAGGTTGGATTAACTTTACCAAGCTACTGTATCAACAAAGGGGAAAATAAGGTAAAGATTGGATTTTCTAACCACAAATATTCTTCCTCCTCTTTAGTGAAATTGCCAGAGACAAGAAAATGTGTTGCAGCAACTGAAATGCCAAAGTACACTTTCAGATAATCCTGCAAAATCTGCTCATAAACTCATCCATCAGTGTTTGGAAATACTATCACCCCCATGTTCTCTCGGGTAAATAGTCCAAGAGAAGTCACCTCTGTTTTCAGACCAAGGGCTGGATGTTTGTGTAACTTTTGCTCTTTTGCTTTAAATGGAGTAATTGGCACTGAAATTGCAAGGTTCATAAAAATTTTGAAGTAAACTAGCACACTTCAAAATAATCACTAATAAAATTAAATTTAAGTTTTATTTACAAAGTCATTGCTTTAGAAACAGCGTGCCTGAGAAATGCTGGATTGGGCTGTGGCATTGATATTACAGAAGTTATATCCCAAAGGAGATGTTTTTGTTCCTCCCTGTGTAGGTCCTCACTTTGGTCTTTTCTTCAGAGTTTCACAGATAGATGTGTCACTAGTTACCCAGCCACAGTTCAGAACAGGCACACACAGCTTTTCCTCAAACCCAAACATCTACTCATGGAATAAAATACTACCATGAAAGCTTTAAGCTACCATAAATATGAATGTAGTGCACAACATTTTAAATACAAGGGTAAGAAAACATGCTTGAATAAACTGAGCACTTCAAAACTCACAAAAAAAAAAATCTTTCCTAAGCATTAAGGTCTGTCATCACAGTACCTGTTGAATGTTTTCCAGGAAACTGACTTTCCATTCAGCTATAAACTACTACAGATCTAGAAATACTCAGAGATTTGTTCCTGGAAAGTAGAAATCCCCAGCTAGCCAGTCACAGGCACTATTGAGTTTCCCATTACTTGCTCATGGAGGTACAATTTTTCTCAGTTAAGCTGATGTTCCAGTTCACAGCTAAGACAAAAGAAAACTGCTGGTAAGCATTCAATTCAAATATAGCAAGATACTGTTTCTACCAGGAACAAGTACTCCTCATAAAGCGTATTAATGTCCTTTTGTACAGTTTAAAATCCAGAGAGAATGTTAGTTATCTGAACAAGTCATATGCTGTCTAGTGGAAAAGTAGATATCTTCTTTTTTGAACTCTTTAAGCCTTTTTTAACTGTACACAAGGCATTAAAAATCCAAACAAGATAATTTGCAAAGCTCAAAATCAACCCAAAAGCACCACTGGTCTTCAGCAATTACTTTTGAGAGCTGAAGCAGGAAGAAACAGGTAATTATCTTCATCACTTTCACAGCTCTGAGTTTTCCCAGTGACAAGAGGGGCAGAATCACTTCCTTGGACCTGCTGCCAATGCTGCTTTTTGTTGCAGCCCAGGGCACCTTTGGCTGTCTGGGCTGCAAGGGCACATTGGCAGGTCAAGGTGAGATTTCCCAGCACCCCAAGTCCTTCTCCTCAGGGCTGCTCTCCATCCATTCTCTGCCCAGCCTGTGTTTGTGTTTGGGCTTGTCCTGACCCAGGTGCAGGACTTTGCACTTGGCCTTGTGGAACTTTATGAGGTTCCACATCTTGAACCCATCAAGGTCCCTCTGGGATGGACTCTT